TCCTATTGTCCCTATTGTAGAAATAAGCAAACTAAGACTTCGGGAGGTTAAGTGATACTTCTACAGTTTCTTGAGTTGTAGAACCTAGATGAGAAATTAAGTCTCCCTGATTTCAAAGCCCAGGTTTTTATCCTGTAATCTTACTCTGTCCCTTATTACCTTATTTGATGAACTTCTGAAATTCTTCCTTAAATTTAGATTTTAGATACCTTTTCATCTTGGAAATGTATGTGTTTGGCTAGAGGCTTAGCTATAGTTTTGTTGGGATAAAAGTATTAACACTTAAATACAGGAAATGAGGTCTGATAAACTTGTAACATAAATTTTGGTTATTACCTACTGCGTTTTAATTAGTTTATCAAATTAAAAAAATTTTTTTTTAAAATAACATGTATTTCAAATAACATCTTAACATTTCATTCGTGAGAGTCAAAATGTTGAATTAAGATACTTACAGTTCTTTGTTACATTAAATAGATTTAGAGAGTTTTCCAGGTTTTTGGTCTCAGATATTTTTGTTGAACATTGTGCCAGGTACACCATAGGTGCTCAGTAGTGTTTGTTGAACTAACTTGAGTAATTATGAGGCCTATTGGAATATTATGACTGAGGATTTGTTTTAGGTACACTTAGAACTTATGTAATAATAAGTGCTTTTTTTTAAATGTTAAATAATAAAACAGATTAGATTCACAAGCAATGAATCTAATGTATTCTAAAACATTTAATTAGTTGTTCACTTTAGGTTGTTATTATTTGATACATGTAAAATATTACAAGAAACATGTTATTAGAAAGTGTAATAATTAATTGATCTTTTGGACTGACCTATGTAACCTAAGTTTTAGAACTTTAACAATACCAATTTGCTTTTTTTTTTAAACAAATGTTCTCTCACTCTCTCCTAAAAATAAAATTTAGACAAGTATCACATAACTAAAGTTGTAGCAGAAAACTGCAATTTGCTTGAAGAATTTAAAACTCAAAATTGTGTGGAATGTATAGAGGTGAGAATAAATACTTACTTGTAAGTATATTTTAAAATTTATGTTAGAACTTCTATTAGCATTCAGAAATTTCAGTAGAACTGCTGTTTGTCAGCACACAAGGAACTGTTGTAACATGTTTGAGGGAAAATTTTAATAAATTTTGATTGGAATATTTATTTTTTTGGAAGAGAAAAACAACATTTTGATCAGAATTTTAAAATTTTACGTATGTATTTTAAATATATATATTTATATGTCATTAAATAAATTTGTAGAATTTTGAATAATAAACATTTAAATGTATTTTAAAAGTTAATTGAAAATTAAAATTTGATTTTTTAAACTAAAAGATTTTTAATTAGTTGAGGAAATGTAATCTTCTTTGATTACAGCTTTGTTGAGATGTAATTCTTATGCCATAGAATTCATTCAAAGGAATTTTTTTTTTTTTTTTTTTTTTTTCAAAAATTTTATTTTTGAGTAATCTCTACTCCCAATGGTGGGGCTCAAACTTAACAGCCCTGAGATCAAGAGTCACATTCTCTACCAACAGAGCCAGCCAGGTGCCCTGGGAAATAAGATTTTAACTAAATTTTTAAAGAAGGATTTAGGAAAATATTTAATGTTCTATTTAATTCACTTACTAAAGCCATTTATAGGATCCAGTTTATTTTAATCTGTTTATTTTGAAAATTTGATTATTTGAAGTGAAAGTTTCCATTATATCTGTACCATCTTTGATTTCATTCTTGCCAATTTTGCTGCCTCAATTTTGGGCAATTAATATATTCAACATTGTCTATATGCTACCAATTTATATATCATTTTTTAAGCACCGAGGATTATTGTATAATATCACTTTTTTTTTTAAAGATTTTATTTATTTATTTGACAGACAGAGATCACAAGTAGGCAGAGAGGCAGGCAGAGAGAGAGAGGAAGGGAAGCAGGCTCCCTGCTGAGCAGAGAGCCCGATACGGGGCTCGATCCCAGGACTCTGGGATCATGACCTGAGCCGAAGGCAGCGGCTTTAACCCACTGAGCCACCCAGGCGCCCCAATATCACATTTTCTAACTTAAAATTTTACCTTGCCTCTGTTTTTTCCCCTGCTATATGAGGTATTTTTAAAAGTGGGCCTGCCAAATACTATACACAAGGGGATAAATTGTTAGTTATTATTCATAATGTGGTGGTTTTGTTTACTTTTTAATATTCCTTTAACAAAGTTAGCATTGAATCATCAGAAGCAGATTTTTAAAAATAAATACACCAAAATATTAGCTATTGGGTTCTCATTTTTTACATAAGTATCCCCCAGCTTATTTCTGTTATCAGAAGTAAAAGCCCAGAACCATTTTTCCTAGATATTGAGGTTCTTGATTGTCTTTGCTTTTAACTGATGGGTCTTCTTTCACGTTGGTTTCTCAGCAAGGAGAGCTAATGAAAATGAAAGGAAATGAAGAGTTTTCAAAAGAAAGATTTGATATAGCTATTATCTATTACACCAGAGCCATTGAATATAGGTAAGAGCAAAATAGAACAATGAGATCCTTTTTGTGTGGCAGATCAAGTTGGAATGCTAGTCAGGAGAAATAAAAGCAAGGCAAGGAATTGGGAGAGAGTATCCTCAACTTGCTATGTAGAATAGATTTTCTCACCATTAGGAATTAGAAGTGTTAGGGATGGCCTGGGTAGTTGAACTTAACTGAGTAGTAAAATTCAAGCAAGTTAAGCAGAATTGTGAATATTGCTTCCACCCTGCCCATTTTCTCTTAGGCTTTCCAGTATAGGTCACCTGTTTTTTCTTGTTCTCGTTTTGCCTTCAGCTAATACCTTCCAAATTGTTAGCTAAAGGGCTAGTTACTAATAATTAAGATATTACCCATTCAGGAATTTTTGCTTTCTAAGAGGGAACTTTTAAAGGTTAATAGTTGGAATTGTTGAGAGAGTCTGTGTTCTCTCTACCTCATCTTCTGTTTGCTCAGCCGCTAGAAATTGTTAGCTTTCCATGCATGTGTACCTTACACTTGGTTTCTATTGATATCTTAGCTGGGCCATCTAATACTGTAGCAGTCTTTGGAGGATGTGCTGTAGACAGCTACTGTCTTTCCTACCTTGCTTATCTCCATGGGGAATGAGTAAATCAGGGCAGCACACCATATCTGGAAGGCTGCTGCTCTGTTCTGAGGAAAAAAACAGATTAAATGAGAAAAGACAAAATTTGAAATGAAGCTATTTAAATTGTTGAAATTTACAGACTTTGTCAGAGTTCTTTGTCAAAGTGGTATAGTCCTGGCTTACATAAGTATAATTCTGTCCTTTATACTTACACCATACTTATGATCTGCTAGCTTTTTAATATGCCTCATTTGATCCTCACAATGTTCCTATGAGCTAGGCAGAAAAAGTAGAACATTTTGAATACAATGAAGTGTAGGTTGATTTGAACAAAGTTACTGAGTAGGAAGTAAAGGAACGAAGACTTAGCCAGTTAGGTCTCCAACTCCTGTATTCTTTCTGCTCTGCCACACAGATGTAAAGTTTTTCATGCCTTGTTTTTTCTGTGAGCTTTTTACTTGTTTTGTACATAATGTACTTTACTGACCAAACATTATTTCTTTTAAAGACCCGAAAATCATCTTCTTTATGGTAACCGAGCTCTTTGTTTTCTTCGCACTGGACAGTTTAGGTAAGTTGGTTAGAGTACCCGTCACTGAGCTGTTACGTTAAATACGCATTTTTTGAGAAATACTTCTGTTCTGCAGATACACAAGAAAATCCTTCAGGAGTTTTTTTGTCAATCACAGTTAAATGGTTAAAGGGGCTCTGTAGGGCTTATGCATAACAGTGACAGCAGCAGCTGTTCTGATTGAATGGATAACGTATGTGCTGTTTTAGGTATTTTACATCGTTCCTTAGGTCTCACAACACACTTAACAGCTAATGTTATTCTCCACATTTACATTTGGGCAGACTCATACTTACTCATAAGTAGTGATGTCAACATTTGAATACAGACCTTATCTGATGATGTTGAAGTCTGTGTTTATCGTACCTGTGTTATCTTCTTTTGCTCTCTTAATTATTCTGTATAATTCTGGAAGAATTTTTGCTGTTTTCTATAGCTTAGTATAAAAAAATTAAGTAGATCTCATTTGTAAGTGAAAGAAAGAAAAGAAATTTAATGGTTTAACCATCAGAGTAAAATCATCATTAATTCTTAATTAATTCTTAATTTCTTAATTAATTCTTAGTTTCTTATGTTACATTGAGTTTTTATTAGTTGAAAGAGATTGTTAACACTGCACCATGATTTTGTTGTCCCTCAGTTTAAAATTTTTAGGATATAAATTATAAGTATTAATAGAGAGCAATGTATGCTGTTACATTTAATTATGTTCTGCCTTACTGTAAGAAGGGCTTAGAGTGGCTTCAGGAATAAATCTGCTTGGTAGAAGAATATTAAAAACACAACAAAACAAACTAAAAAACCAATTTAGAGCTGGGGATCCTCAAAATAAAGCTATATAGGGATAAGGTCCTAAACAGTTAATAGTTATAATTCATACTTGTATTTGACCTTTTTGTTGCTTAAAATAAAAGGAGAAAACCTGACAAGTTACAGGATTCTCACTGTCCATGAAGAAAAAGGACAGAAGTTGCTCAGGTGAAGCAGTTTTCCTGATGTTTAGTTCTGGAAGAAATTCCTTGTATGACTTACAAGTAACATGAAGTGAGTGAAGGAGTAGAGAAGAACCTCAGCAGCATTCCTGTTCAAAGCAGAAAACTCCCTGAAAGTGCAGTTTTGGGTTTCGCAAATAAATTTTTCTGTGGAGTTTTCTGATGAAAGCAGAGAGTCTGAAACTAGTGGTTTTTAGTTGAAGTACTTACGGTTGGGATGCGGGAGGGTGGGAGTGGGGAAGAGCGTATATTCCAAGTATGTAGCTTTTAAAAATAACATTTGTTTTTCTTTTATTGTAAACAGAACACATTCTCATGGTAGAAAATTTGGAAAATACAAGAGTTTAAAAAGAAGAAAATAAAAATCACCAGTAATCCAACCACCTCGGAGAATACCGCTGTATTAACGTTATGCAGCTTTTAGATGGCTTAAGCCGTGGATAAAGCGAGGCTATCTAGACTAGAGGAATGGATGGGCTGGACACAGTCTTCCATCAATACCACTGTCCTCAACTGGTTCTGACAAGAAATGAGCTGCAAATGTCCTTAGGTTATTGCATCTGGCTAGGTCCAGAATTGCAGATTTCCTATGCTGTTTGATGGTGAATCTGTGCTTTCAAGATGAATAGGTTGGCAACTTGGCTAGCCTCTTGTGAAAATCGGAACCTTGATTGGGCAAAAGGTCATCCACTCTGCGTAGGGAAGCTCCGAGAGCGGAGAGGCAAGCCAGGGGGTTTCTGCCCTCTTTCATGAGTGTTGAATGCTAGACACTCGAGGAGGATCCTCTTAAAACTGCGCTGCAAAGGAGGTGCATCAAAGTAGAGTTACAGAAGCCAGGTAGCCTGGTGAGGCAAAGGTCAAGAGCAGGGTTGTGCATCAATCCTTGTACCTCCTTCCTGAGAGTCTAGCTTGTGGTTCAGCACCATCGAAGTTTTCACTAGATGCAGGTCAGCAACATTTCCTTCTCAGGCAGTCACCTATATGTATTAGATGTCAATGTCGGAAACATTGTGCCACACAATTTTCTTGGTGGTTCCCACCTTCTCACATGTTGTTTATATGACTTACTCAGTAATGTAGGGATAATGTTTTCTGAGTTTACAGTACATCTCACTCCTGGTGGAGTGAGTAGATAATGTGACTTCAGAAAGGAACACGTTGTCAGGGATTCACTTGTGCCATTGAAACAGAAGGACCCATGCCCTTTAGCTGAGTTACCACGTTGGGATGTATTGAAGCTCTCACATCTGCGGTTTGGTAGATCTGTCATGGGAATCTGGCTGAGCAGCTGTGGGACATCTGGGAATAAAGCATCCAACCTCCCTGGCACTGTTCTGAGCACTTTATGCATACAAGCTCAAAAAGCCCTCAACAACCCTGTGAAGTGGGTGCTGCTATCTCTTTAGAGATGAGGAAACAGAAATGGGAGGTCAAGCAAAGTATCCACAGAAACTAGGTGGGTGTAATGGAGCCAGGCAGCCTGGATGCAGAGTTTCTGCTCTTAATCCCGATGGAAAGGGGTTGGTAGAATCAAAGGGCAATGTGAAAGCTGGAAAAAAACTTAAATGGTTCAAATAGTCGATAAACATGAGTATCCTTATAGGACATGCAGATTACAAACTTTGAGTCTCTTTTTTCATGTCCATCAGATTGGCAAAAATTTTAAAAACCTCATAATACCAAGTGTTTGAGAGGATGTGGAACAAAAGAAACTTGCATACTCGGCTGGAGAAAGTGTAAATTGGTGCAATCACTTTGGACAGCAATTTGGCAAGGTGAAGATGTGCATACTCTGCAGCCCACTCCTAGGCTCCTATCCTCCAAACTCAAATGTGTACCTGAGAAGATACGTACAAGCCTTCACGATAGCATTGTTTGTAAAAGTAAAATGGAAACAACTTAAATGTCCATCTGTGGGAGAATGGATAAATAAATGATGGTATATTCATACAATGGAATTTTATGCAGCAGTTAAAATGATGACAATGTTGAGTGAAAAAGCAAGTTGCAGAATGATTTGTATGATGCGATTTATATAATGTCAAACTATGCGAAGCGACAAACATATTATAGTTAATCTTAGTTATGTATTAAAAATGTTTTATAAATGCATGAGCATGTTAAACACCAGTGGAGTGGCTGTCTCTGGGGAGGGAAAGAAGGAAAAGGATTGGTAATGAGTAAGTGGTACACAGTGCTTGTCGACTATAACAGTTCTGCGAGAAGATCTGAAGTGAATATGGCAAAATGTTAAGATCTTGCTAAGCTGGTACAAGGGTATTGACTATTTTAATGTTATTGTCTGTACTTTTATGTATACTTGAAATATGTGATGAAAAGATATAATAGTAAAATTAAAAATGCACGTAAGATTAAAAAAAAACAAAAACAGTGTTCACTAAAATAGCAAGGATAAAATAAGGGAAAGTAATCTCGAAAGAAGAGACATATATGAGTGTTTTAAGACTAATGGTGGGGAGCCCGAGGTGAGATATGTGTGGGGAAAGTGCTTCATTAAGAAATGGTCAGAGTGCTGGTGGTGGCTTTAATGCCAGGTAGTCACGGTTTGTACCACCTTTGGATGAATGTGGGTGAGGCCAAGAGCCCATCTGAACTCCTGCCGTTCATCATAACGTGTGCACCTCCAGGTCTGCGAATGTCGCACTTGGGAAATCTGTGGAATGGGGCCGGGGTGGGGGGCTGTGCGGAAATATGCTACTTTCTGCCGCAGCTTCTGCTGAGTCCTTTAGGCTCAGGACTCTGCACTGTATCCCAAATGCCCATCATGGCTGCGATGTCCTTTTATTCAGGTTTTCCAGAAGTTCACTTTACAATTTGGTAGTTATATATAGGGAACTTTAGAATGATAGTTTTAATCGAAGTAATCATATTTTTAGAGGAGAATCTAAAAAAAGTGATTAGACATATCCATGGGTTCTGTAGTTACAGTACTTATGTGAGGTGTATTGTCAGGCTGTGCCTCTTTACTGTTTTATTCTTTTTTCTGGTACTCCTATGTGGAAATTTGAATTCTTTGATGGGATGTGATAAACTGTGTAAGGGGAAATGTAATTGGAAAAAGGGAAAGCTGAGCCTTGGATGTTTTTTTAATTTAGTTTGGAAAATTATGGAATTTTAAACTTGGCATTTACTTTGACCTTCAGTGTTTAACTACCATATTCTCTTCTGTTAGATCCAACTTATGATTAATAGCAGGCAGATAGCCTTTGAATGACTTCTGGTTTTTGGTTTTGTTTTGTGTTTTTCTGAATTTCTCTGAGGCCAGAGGTATAAATCAAATCAATGTTATGTTCCTATGAGAATTTAAAAAACTCTAGTTTGGGGGTGCCTGGCTGACTCAGTCAGGAGAGAATGTGTGACTCTTGATCTTGGGGTCATGAGTTGAGCCCCAGCTTGGGCGTGGAACATACTTAAGAAGAAAATCCTAGTGCATGGGGGGAGCTTCAGTGTGTTTTATGTATTTCCATAATATCTTATGCATATATAAGCACTTAGTATGTTGGACCAAATGAAGTTGCCATTTTTATAATCCAGAATGTAGGCAGGTTTGTTTGATTCAATGTGATGTGCATATATACGTATGGGTATGTGTGTGTGTGTATTTTTAACATGGGTGGGAGCGTACTATACATACTGTTGTACTTCTTGCCTTTTTTTTTTTTTAATACTTAAATCTTGGAGCTTGTTGTGTATTAGTGTATATGGAGATATACCCTTATTTATGTTCATGGCTCCATAGTCTTCTACTCAGTGGATTACTGCTGCTTTGGTTAGTTTATATTAGAATATAAATTACTTCAGTTTTAAAAAATTATAGCTTTGTAATGATTATCCTTTTAGTTGTGTTCTACATTCAGGTGTGAGTATATCCTGATAAATGCCTGATTTCTTTTACTTGGATGAAAGAGCTTATGTAATTTTTTAAAAAAGATTTTATTTTTAAAATTTATTTGATAGAGAGCACAAGTAGGCAGAGAGGCAGGCAGAGGGAGAGGAGAAGCAGGTTCCCCGCTGAGCAGGAATCCTAATGCAGAGCTTGATCCTAGGACCCTAGGATCATCACCTGAGCTGAAGACAGATGCTTAACTGCCCAGGTGCCCAGAGTTTATGTAATCTTAATTCCAGACATTAACTTTTTGATTTAAATGTATGTGTTTATTCAGTCGGTGGTTATCACTCACTGCATATTTGGCAGTAACCATCTGAATTCTGCTCTTGTTGCTTCATTGTTAAGATCTAGGAATTTGGGGAGTAACATCATTATTTCTTTGTTGGTCTTAGGCCCTAGAAGTGATGATTTATAGTAGGGAAGAAAGAAAGTTATAATCCTTTTATGACTTGTGAAGTTCTTACATATATTGTAGTTTGAGAGAGTTAATAAATAGCATCTTCTTTTCTTCCGAAGTCCAGATTCAGTTAAGAAATAGACACGGAAGACAAGGCAAATGGTGATCCAGTCTTCCCTCTAGTGCTGACACAGTTTTTGGAGAGTAGGGCCTTACCGAAGAGTCTGAAGGCCAAGTGACTTCTTGTTCACCCATGGTCACAGACAGAACTGGCAATGGGGACCTTTGTGAACTTTAAGCTTGGAGGAAAAGGGAATCTGGTATAACGATAGTGTTCAGTATAAGATTCCAAAGAGAGAAAAAAAAGAGGCTTAGCCACATACGATTAGTGCCCCTCCCCACCATTATTTATCCTCAGGAAAAGTTAGTGAGGGGTGGGGAAGGAGAGAGCTCAAAAGTGATTAATCTAGCAAATCCGCATGAAAGCTAGAGGAGGGAGAAATATGTATTTGCTTCCAACGTGTTTTAGGGCAAAATGTGCCATATTGTATATGAAGGTGAGACAGCTGGAGAAGTAACATTTCCCCGTGTAATATGTCTTCTGTTGGAGTATCTAGGCTAGAACATTCTTTCTTACCCTCTGTTCAGTACTCTTACCATTTTGTCACATGGTCTTCAGGAGTAAGTAACCATTTGCATCTCTTGAGTCTTCTGTTTTCATAGATGTATCGTGTAGATGTATTGCCCATGCTAAAGTCATACCAGCTTTCAAGTCTGTACACCTCAGCTACACTAGGTTGGATGAGCAATCACACCATGTAATTTATTACGCCTACTTTGTTTTAGTAGGAAGATGTGGTCATATGCGAGTAAATGTGAAAGTACGTTATAGTTTATAGATATATCTATATATATATACATACAAACACACTAATATATTTATAATGTATGTGATTGTAACAACATAGTACTGTGGTTATAGTATTTATTAATTATAATAACAATAACATTCAGCATTGATTTAATAAGTATGATTGGTGTTCTGCTTCTAGCCATGTCAGAAATGAGCAAAACCAGACATAGTTCTGTATGGGCCACTCCATACAGTGGGCCAGCACTGGGAGGGCAGATATTGCACTCATGAAATTAATAGTGTGCCAGATGGCCTGAATACAGAGGAGGGGAGTGGTGGTCAGGGACTAGACCAAGGAAGGTCTTTTAGGCTACATAACTGTGGCCTTGAAGAGCATCGATAAATAAAGGATTTTAAATTGAGGTGAGATGCCATGATTAGGACCTTAGAAAGATCAATCTAGTTGTAGTGAGGAGAATGGGTTTGGAGAGGATGCAGCATGAATTGGGTTAGGACACTGTTGCAGTACTCTAGGCCAGAGGTGATGGTAGCTTAGTGGAGTAATGGTAGCAGAAATGGAGGAGTGGAAGGATTTGAGATATTTTGGAGGTAAAATGAACAGAGATTGCTTATGGTTTCATGTTTGGAACTATTATGAACTTTCTGCCTTCAGCTGCTTCATGGATTATAGGCTCACTCCCTAATACTGGGATCAGTGGAAGAGATACATTTGTAGGAAGTAGAACTTGACTTCACTCCTGGACATCCTGCAGGATCCCAGGATGAAGGATTGAAGGATCCCAGTTGGAATGTCACATTGGCAATGAATTATGTGGGTCTGGACTCCAAGGAGGTATTTGGGCAAGAGATGCATACTTGGGATAGTTAATCTAGATAATTTGAAGTTGCAAATGTGGATCAGATTGCTTGGCGAGGTGGGTCTCATCTTTTACTGCACCCTGGAATCAACCTGGGAAGAAATAATCCCAACCCAGAGATTTTGATTTAATTAATTGGGCTTTGGGCTTCTAGCAGCCCCCCAGATGGTACTCATGTGTAGCCAAGGTTGAGACCCACTGGTGTAGAGCAAGGATGAGCTGAAAACTGGGACTTAGCCTTGAGGGACACAAGTAGTGGCCAATTAAGGGGAGATGAACCAGCGTGGGAGACGGTTAAGAGGTAGCCAGAGAGGTAAGAGGAAAACTGGAAGTGTGACATCACAGAAGGCAGAAAAAGAGTGACTGGTAGTGCCTATTGTTGCTGAGAAGCCAAATGGAATTTAGATTGAGCAATATGGACATCTTTTAGTTGCCACAGGAGGAGCTGTGTATGGGAATCTTGTAGATCCTGGGTTGGAGTGGGTTGAGATGAAAGGAAATGGAAATAGTATAGGCAGTTGTTGAAAGCATTTGCAGAGGGAAGCAGTGGAGAGATGAGGTGTGCCATTGTATTAGGATGTGTTTCATTGCTAGTAACAGAAAACCCTATTTAAATGGTGAAGAAAACCTCATTAAAGAAATGCAGAAGAAGGTGGCTCTAAGGTTGTATATTTAGTGCCTCAACAATGTTATCAAAGACAGGATTTTTCTAGTCTCTCTGTGTGACTTGGACTCCAGTCTGCCTCCTCTGGCTACTGTAATTCACATATTAAGCTGGACGTTACCGTCTCCAGCAAAAGAATCACTCTTAAAATCTTCAGAAAAAATTACACATACTGCAAAGTGTATAATTCATAAGAATATAGGTTGAATTTTCAGAATCCTTACATGAGTAATTGATACACACATCACAACTCCAGTACCTCTGAAATTCTTCCTCCTAATCTACCTACCTTCTTCCCCAGGTTAACTGTTACCCCATTTTCCAACGCAGTGGGTTAGTTTTGCCTGTTTTTGTGCAATGTAAATAGTCATGGTATGTGCTCTTTTATGTTTGGCATTCAGCATTGTTTTTCAAGATCCATATTGTTGCATGGAGTTGTACAGTGTTCATCTATTGCATGAATATACCACATTTTATCCATTCTAATGTTGATGGACATTTGGGTAGTTTCTAGTATTTGGCTTTTACAGATAGTATCATTGTGAACATATGTATTCATTTCTGTTGAGAATCTAATTAAGGAATAGAGTTGCTGGGACAAGGGTATGCTTCTACTTAGCTTTCATATATAATTTCCTATATGGTTGTATCATTTTGCACTCCTGCCAGCAGTATATTAGAGTTTTGGTTCCACGTCCTTACTAACACTTATTATTTTTGTCATTTCATTTAGACATTCTGATGGGTATGTAGTGATACAGTGCTATGATTTTAATTTGCATTTCCTTAAGTCAATTAAGGTTATTTAAGTTGAGCATCTTTTCATATGCTTCTTGACCGCTTGGATATTCTCTTTTGTGAAGTGCCTGTTTGGATCTTTTGCTGGTTTTTTTTTTTGTTGTTGTTTGTTTGTTTTGTTTTTGTTTTTCTTTTGAGTCAATGTCTTATTCTTTAGGTTTTTTAAAAAAAATTTTTGGATTTGAGTCATTGGTCAAATATATGCATTACAAATAGCTTCTCACACTCTGTGGCTTGCCTTTTCACTTTTTTTTTTTAAACAAATGGATGATGCTAACTTGAACTTAGTGCTGTTTATCAGTTCTTTTCCTTTATAATAATCACTTTTTGGCTTCTGTTTAATAGTCTCTGGCTTCTCTAACATCAGCTAAACGTTCTTTGTTTCTTTTAAAAGCTTGATTATTTAACTTTGCAGTTAGTGAGAGGTAGGTTCAAGATGGGTATGAATGTCTAATTGACTCATCACTCTTTCTTAAGAATATGTTTTCTTGATGCACTGCGGTGGTCATTTTTGTCATCTAGATCAGGTGACTGTATGCATCTGTTTCTGATTTGTTTATCCTAATCTGTTGGTCAGGTCATCTGTCTTTAGAAAGACTTTTTTTTTTTTTTTAAACTATATATATAGTTTTTTAGTAGGTACTGCTGTCTGGTAGTGTAAGTTACCTAGTTTTGTTCTTCCTTGTAAATCTTTTCTTAAGAGTGATGAGTCCTCTAAACTCTCATTGGCCAGCACTGGGTCATATGACTACCCCCAAACCAGGCAGTAGAAAGGAGAGTGAGATTGCCGTGATTGGCTTAAACTAATTAGAATTAATCATCCTCATTTTACATACAGGAAAGCAGGCCAGAGCATTAATAAGTTCCCAAAGAGTCCTGAGGAGAGTTAGTGGTTGTATTGAACTTAACTCCCATCTGTCTCAGCTTTTATGCTCTGTCCACAGCAGTTTAGCTGATGAGTGAAAGATCTGGGAGGTATTTTTTTGGAGATCAGAAGTCTTGCTGACATGCAAAAGTAGTGCTGAAAAACTATGTAGATAATAACAAGTTAGACACAGATAAGATGTAGGTATGTGTAGGAAATATTCCAGAAATATGAAAAGTAATTATTCCTGGGTAGTTGTGATTGTGACTCTGGGTGACTTTTTCCTTTTATTTTACTTTTCTGTATTTTCCAAATTTCCTATAATGGACATATATGGATTTTTAAAAATTAAGAAATTATTTTTAACTAGGTTTTTTTCTAGAAAATTCAAGAAGTACAAATAGATACACAATTTATAGTGCCTTTATGAAAAAAATAAAAGTGAATATTTCTTGTTTTTCTTTTTAGAAATGCACTTGGTGATGGAAAGAGAGCTATTATCCTGAAGAGCAATTGGACAAAGGTAGGTTGCTTTTATCTTTACATTGGGCAGGTAATGCCATATAACTTTTGAAAAATCTGTGTAGAGGATGTAAATTTGTATGTAGAAATGCTGGATAAAATTATACCAAGCTCAAGAATGTGAGAGGGGAATCTTCAGTTCCATAATCAGAAAGGAGACTTAACACAGCAGTGAGAGGCTGTGTGTGTCTGAGCAGGACAAGTAGCACGTAGAAATGTTGAGAAGCTGGAGGGTACCTTAGTGACTGAGATGTCAGCATCTGCACATTATGGATGGGGTAAAGACTTTACAATGAAAAATGAAACTTAAAACTTAGGAGAGGAATTACAGGAGACTGCTTTTATAACCTCGAGGTGGGAAAGGATTTATTAAATAACACACAGTGCACAGATCAGTATTGGGGGTTGCATAAATTTGACTATATTAAACTGAAAAACTTCAGTATGTCAAAAGACACCATGAATGAAATCATAAGCCTGGAAGGAGATAATTTGTCCTAAATATGCGAAGAGCTATAATAAATAAACCCAGTAGAAAATGGTCTAGTAAATAAACATGCATTTCACAGAAGAGAAATCCTGAATGGGCAATAGATATAACCTACTTGTACGTAAGCAAGTAAGTAAAACAATGTAATACTGTTTAGGTCCTTTAGATCGGCAAAGGTTAAAGAGACTAGTAGTCCCAAGCGTTGGTGACTATATCTACCAACAGGAACCTTCCATAAACAAGTGGGTGAGAATTGGTTGCAGCCAACTTGGAGAGCACTATGATGTGCATACGCTGTAATTATTCTAAGTATGTATACCCCACAACATTCTTGCAATATGTACACATGGCAAAATATGCAAAGTGGTCATTGCAGTGGTGTTTTAATGGCCTAGAAGTGCAGATACCTACCTATCCATTGATAAAGCAGGGATGGATATGATGTTTTCGCTTACCAAAGTTATTCCTCTGATCTGCTCTGTCCCTCTTTCTTAAACACCCATTATGTCTCTGACCTCACTCCTACCACTCTGTGCCTTGTTCACTCTTTGTTGACCTGTTGGCCTCCTCAACTGTTCCTTATATATGCCAGGCCCATTCCCCATTTGTACTTGTTTTTCCCTCTGCCTAGAATTGAATGCCTTTTCCCAGACCATGAGCTAGCTGCCTTACTTCCTTTCATGTTTTACTGAAAGTTTTCTCAGTGGAAACTTCTTGGCCACATTACTAAAATGCCAAGGCTACCCCTGCCTAGACAGTTGCTACCCTCTTGCCCTGCTCTACTTTTTTCCTGTTGACATTTAACATTATTGAACATACTGTATGTATTATTACTGTGTGTCCTCCCCTACAATGTGAGATCCATGAGGATGGATTTTTTTTTTGTTTGTTTGCTTGGTTCACTATTGAATCTGGACTGCCTGACAAGCTGCTTGGCACATAGCAAACATTTCCTAGTAAGTATTTGTTGACTTAGTGAATGAATGAACTGAATACTAGATTGCAGTTGGAGTAAGTTAACTGGTTGACCAGCATTTATAGATTTTAAAAAATAGTGTTGAATGAAAAAAAGCAGTAGAAGCAAAATATAGGCCCGAAAGATACCTTTCAAACTCATGATAATGTTTCTTTCTGGGCAGTTAGAGACGGAAACATTAGAGAGGGTACAAAGAGGATTTTAGCCATATCTGTATGGTTTTATTTCTTTTAGTAAGAAAGAATCTAAAGCAAATATAGCAAATGTTAGTGATTAATTCTAGGTGTTTGTGATATTAATCACTGTATTTTCCTAAATCACAAAAAATACCTGACTTTTTTTTTTAAAGTAGAGCTTCAAATAAGACACAGAAAGATATATGTTTCGGACTTCATTCCTGGCTTTACATAATTTGTTTTTAAATCAGAGTGAGTATTAATCAGAGAATTTTAGAGTCCTCCAAATTATGATTCATGTGACCGAGTAGTGTATCAGAGTCTGGGGATTGTGAAATTCCCCAGGTGGACTCCTGCATCCAGATTTTGGAGTCCGTTTTTAAATACCTCATTTTACAGATGAAGAGATTGAGTCCCAGAGAGGTAAAGTGACTTTTGCAAGTAAGAGACAAAAGTGGATTTAGAATCCAGCATTGGATGTGCTTCTGTTTGAGAGTGATCAGTTTGTGGCTGTTTTTACTAGGAGTCATTGTGCTTGGTATAGAATCTTTGTTCATCACTGAACCTGGCATTTGTCATGTGCTCCGTAAATATTTATTCTGTGGATGATAGAATTTTTTTTTTTTTGGATTAAAAAAATTTTTTTCTTTTGTTTCCCCCCATTTTATTTTATTTCTTTTCAGTGTTCCAAAATTCATTGTTTATGCACCACACCCAGTGCTCCATGTAATACGTGCCCTCTATAATACCCACCACCAGGCTCACCAGACCCCCCATCCCCTCCCCTCTGAAACCCTCAGTTTGTTTCTCAGAATCCACAGTCTCTATGGTTTGTCTCCCCCTCCCAATTTCCCCCTTCTACTGAACTCAGACTCTGAATTTATTTCTCTATAGAGTTACCATTGAATTTTCTATTGTCATTTCAGAAAAAAGGAGTACTAAAAGATTCTGAATTACATTGAGGACGATGTAGAATGTTTATTTCTGGCTTAATTTATTGAACAGAAAATTTTCACTCTCTAAACTACTTTTTTAGAGCAAATTTAGGCTCACAGCAAAATTAAGAGGAAGGTAATCTTCCACAGACCTCCACACATGCATAGCTTCCCCCATTATCAGCATCGCCCAACTGACTGGTATAATTTGAACATTGATGAACCTACACAGACACGTTATAATCATCCAAGGTCCATAGTTTAAGGGTTCACTCCCTAAGTGTTATGCATTCTTTGGGTTTGGACAATGTGTAATGACATTTATCCATTATTTTGATTTATACAGAGTGTTTTCACTATCCCCCAGATCCTCTGATCTGCCTTTCCAAACCCCTGGCAACCACTGATCTTTTTACCATCTCCATTAGTTTTACCTTTTCCAGAATGTCATAGAGTTTGAGTCATACAGTATGCAGTTCTCAGATAGGCTTCTCTTTCACACATTATGTTTCTGCCATGTCTTTTCATTGCTTGATAATGATTTCCTTTTAGTGCTAAATAATACTTCATTGTTGGCTTGTGCCAGTTGATTTATCCATTCACCTACTGAAGGACACTTTTTAAAAAGATTTTACTTATTTATTTATTTATTTGAGAGAGAGAGAGAGCGAGAGCGTGTGAGAGAGTAAGTAGAGGAGAGAGAAAGAAACAGGCTTCCCGCTGAGCAGGGAGCCCGGCATGGGGCTCGATCCTGAGATTCCTGGTTCATGACCTTAGCTGAAGGCAGACACTTAACTGAGCCACCCAGGCACCCCTACTGAAGGATATTTTTGTTGCTTTCAAGTTTTGGTCATTTTGAATAAAGCTGTTATAAATACCTATGTGCAGGGTTTTGTGTTGACATGTTTTCAACTCTTTAGGGTAATTACCAAGGATTGCTGGATTGCAGTGATTGCTGGATCATATGACAAGAATATGTTTAGTTTTTGTTTTTGTTTTTAATTTATTTGAGAGACAGAGAGAGAGGAGCAAGGGGAGGGATAGAGGGAGAAGGAGAGGCAGATTCCCTGCCAAGCAGGGAGCCTGATGTGGGGCTCAGTCTTGGGACCCTGGGATCATGACCTGAGCTGAAGGCAGACACCCACCCAGGTGCCCCTAGTTTTTTGTTTTGTTTAAGATTTTATTTATTAGAGAGAGATACAGAGGTAGTGAGAGAGAGAGAATGAGCAGTGGGGAGAGGGAAAAGTAGATGCTCCACTGAGCAGGGAGCATGTTTTATGATGATTGCAGAAATATTTGTATAGAAAAACACAAATCCTAGTAAGTATTAAAAAAATGTAACTATATACCTAAGTCATTTTTTTCAATTTCTTTTATTGGAAAGAAGTGCTCATTAAAAGATAGCTTAGACTTCAGAAGCAAAGGTGAACTGTGCAAGGTGCATTCTGTACTTCTGCTTCAGAGTAGCTATGAGCCCACGTCTGTTGAATCATGCCTCTAGGACATAATCATGTATAACAAGGTTCTCTGTAGATTCTCTGAGGGTGGGCCATTGTTGTGCCTTCTTTCCAGATAGAGAAGACTGGTACAATGACAACTGCCCTGCCTGTGCTTTCAGGCCTAAGAAGGATGTGTCATTGTATCCCATACAGTGGGAATTTTTATGGTATTGTCAGGAGACCTTTGTTGACATTTCTCTCTGCATTGCCTTTTTGATATTGTTATGTAGCATACAAACCGGTAGCCTCACAGATGTCCATAAAAGAACCTTTAATATTGAGGGGTATATTAAGACTCTTTTGTTTGTGAATGACAAAACCTAACTCAGATTTGGCCTAAGTAGTTGACTCATGTAATTGAAAAGTCTAGGCATTACCTTCAGGCTTGGCTGGATCCAGGTTTATACACCTTTTTCTTCCCATTTCTCAGTTTTTCTTTCCTGTTTATTAGCTTTATTTTCAGTCTCTTTTCTCCCTTTTCATTTAGTGTTTCTTTTTAGGTGGGTTCTGTTGCTGTATTGAGTTCACTGATTTTTTTCTTCTACAATGTCTAATCTTCCCCAGTTTCATCTGATGTATTTTTTTCACCTTAAATGCTATAACTTCCGTCTTTAGAATGTCAGTTTGAGTGTTCTTTATGTATTTCACATCTTAATATGTTCAGTCTTTTGACTTCTTGAAGATGTGGAATATGTTTATAGTAACTGTTCTAATGTTCTTGTCTACTAATTCTTTGTGTGTGTGTGTGTGTGTGTGTGTATGTGTGTATTATCTATTTATTTATTAACATATAATGTATTATTTGTCCCAGGGGTACAGGTCTATGAATCATCAGGCTTACACATTTCACAGCACTCACCGTAGCACATACCCTCCCCAGTGTCCATAACCCAGCCACCCTATCCCTACCCCCCAAACCCCAGCA